CTCCCAAATACTTCTGACATTTTGGCCCTTTGGAACAGAGTATGTTGCTAAGAGGCCCAGGACATTGTGACTTTTAACCCAGGTATTGGCTACTTTTCTTTGGGGTCTTTTTACCCTAACTGCCTAGCCAATTCCTACCTCCTATTCTTATCACACCATCCTCTGAAGAGGTTACCCAAATTGCCAATGGGGAATCGGGACACAGACTGCTCTGGCCTCTTCCATGCTGAACAGGGACACAGGGTGAGGCAGTTGGGTTACCCCTTCAGTAGATCTATCTAAAAGACTCTCAAATTGCATGACTCTTAATGGTAGGGAGAAAAGAAAGTCCTTGACTGGTGCCTAGGAGATGTGAAGAAGTAAAGGCAAGAGTAGTTAGCATTACAACAAGGACAGAACCAGAAAAAAGTCAGAACAAGGCAAGTTTCAAATGTTCTTATCAGAGTCCACTGAAATTTCTTGAGCTTCCAAAAGCATCCCTCCACTGTGTTCCTCATTTTTCTTTTGCCCATCAAGGCTGAACTCGAGAGTGATGGACTCAAGATTTGTTTTCAGGCACTTTGATAGCTGTTGGAATGGCTAGAGTCAGTGTCAGTTCCCTCAATTCTGTCATATATGTTAACTCCTATCCAGTCAGGCATTTGTACCCAGATATCCATCAGTGCAAGTTCATTAACTGGAATCTAGTCAGCCTACCTAGAGTCCCTTGTTTTAGGAAGATCAGCTGTTCTTCATCTAGCAGCAATCAGTTGCCAACATTCATTCAGATAAGATTAGTCTGCCATTCATTTTCCCGGTTCTATGCTGGGTTACTATTTGGGAGTCCCTTTGGCCACCCTGGCCAACCACTCAAAGGAAGGTATCTCCTGTCTGGCATTGTTTTTTGTTATGTAGCCTTTAGCTATACATGTGGACTCTTAAAGAATTATACTGATCATTTTAATCTTTGGTTATACTTTCCTTTTGGGTGTTTAAGACCGTACAGGTGGCCCAAATAAACCAATTTATTTTTACTGTTAAGGTTGTATGAGGGTCTGTTCCTCAGGGGTCACGTGGGCTTGAGATGAGCCCCTGGCTCCTTTCTTTTACCAGTTCATCTATATGAAGATAAGTCAAAGGTCCTACTCGACCATGGCTGACTTCACTTGGAAGCATGGAGGAAATGTTTCCTCTCTGTTGACCCTCCTCTTTGTAGACTGGACACTGGTTCAAGTCCATCTGGTGGGGTCTCCATGAGGTGACTCACCACAGTTACAGGACATTTTGAGAGATGCTCCATAGTCCCCTGGAACTTAATCGACCTTAGAGGGCAAGAAGCAAAAACTGTCTGGGACTCACTTTCTGACTTGTGCCTTCTTCCTCAGAACCCTCCATGGCAATGACATTTCCAGTGTTCCTGAGGGCTCCTTCAATGACCTGACATCCCTTTCCCATCTGTAAGTAGCTTCCTTCTCCCCAGTGTACATGCACTCAAAACAAAAAATGATGGTGACAACCAGACAGTATCATCACTGTTAATATTTTGGTATATGTTCTTTCCTTATGACTGTGCAGTTGTCCCTCCGTATCCATAGGGAACTGGTTCCAGAATCCCCTGTAGATGCCAACCATCCACAGGTGCTCATGTCCCTTATATACAATGACGTAGCATTTGTATAGAATGCCACACATCCACCTATGTGCTTAAACTGTCTCTGGATTACATATGATACGTAGTGTACTATAAATAGTGGTTATATGACATTGGTTGGAGAATAAGGACAAAAACCAGGTCTGTACGTGTTTGTTACAGATGTAATTTTTTATTTATTTTTATGTATGTGTGTGTAAGTGCACTCATGCCATACAATACCTACAAAGGCCAGAAGAGGTCATCATATCCCCTGGAACTGGAGTTGGATGGTTTGTGGCCATGTGGGTACTGGGAGCCAAACCTGGGTCCTCTTCAAGAGCAGCCAGTGCTCTTAACAACTGAGCCATCTCTCCGGTACCATAGATGCAATTTTTAAAACTGTATTTCTGACCCACAGTTGGTTTGATATGCAGATATGGAACTGAGATTCAGAAGGCTGGCTGGGGCTTATTTTACAATACCGTGTCCACACTGTGCACAATGTCATCTTCTTGGCTTCAGTTGCCGTCAAAGCATCGTCATTCTGTTAAATGATGCAAATATTTAATAAGAAGAACTACCAAAAAACACTGTGTGCTAAACACTTTAGATGACTTACCTGATTTATTTCTTATAGCAGTAAGGCACTTTATCTTTTTATATGTAATGAAATTGAAAGTTAGGACAATTAAAGAATTCATCCAGGAGTAACACTGCTGGTGAGTAGTAGAACCACAGTCCAGCTCTAGGTTTATCTTGACTCCAAAAGACATTTTTTAAAACATTTTAGTTGTTATTTTTATTTTATGTGTATGAGTGTATTGCCTACATGTGTCTAAGGGCACCCATATCATGCAATGCCTGCGGAGTTCAGAAGAGGGTGTTGGATTCCCTGGAACTGGAGTTAAAGCTGGTCGTTAGCTGCCATGTAGGAGCTGGGAATCAAAGTCGGGTCCTCTGCAAGAGCATCCAGTGCTCTTAACCACTGAGCCATCTCTCCAGCCTCAAAGGACACATTCTTAACCATTCTGTATTCCCTTCTTATTTATTCAAGGAAATTGAGATCATAAAGAATAGGTGACTAGCTGAAAGTCCCCCATTAAGCCAGTCAGACTTCAGAGTACAGCTCAGGTTCCCTAACTGCCAGGCCAGACCTCACTTCCCAAGATCAGAGATCTCTAAAGCCATTCATTTCTTAGTACATATCTCTGTTGGTAAGTTTGGGGAGTCTTAGGAGGGTTGTTTTGTTGTTATTTTGTTTTTTTGAGACAGGGTCTCCCTGTAGCCCCCTAGATCAGGTTAGCCTCAATCTCATAGAAATTCTCCTACCTCTGCCTCCCAAGCGCCAGGATTAAAGGCATACGCCACCACACCTAGCTGTTTCTGAGTTTGTATTCCTCCTCTGTATATATTTTCATTATTTTCCTGTTGTGTGAATACACTATAATACTGACAAGTATGCATACTGATAAAGCGTTCAAAATGGCAAATAATATAATTTTTAAAGGGTATTTTTAGATTGGGCGTGGTCTATCTCCAAAACAAAAAAGAACATTTTTGTCTTTTCTTCCTGACTACTTTGGGTAACTGTATTCTCTTCCCTGTATCTTCAGCTCAGTGGCTTGAAGCTGTTTCCTAAATTCTACATCTTGGAACCTTCACTGCAGAACACATCCTCCAGTGAACCCCTTTTTAGGGCTTGAGAGTCAAAGGAAGAGTTGGCCAGGGGTCTACAAAGCTTCCCAGAAGAGCCTAGACTGGGGTGGAGTTGAAACCAGAATTTTCCAGGGCAGTGAGAACAAAGTCTCAGAAGTGGGACAAGACTTTAGAAGGGATAAAATAGACTTAAGACATTGACTTTACCCCAAAGGAGACTCCTTCTCTAGCCTGCATATTAGACTCAACTTTTCAGTCAGAGTCTCAAAACTCTCCTTTTCCTGGGAGCCACAGATTGGGAGCCTGTGGGCCAGGGGCAAGCTCCTAACTTCCTTGTCTGCCTCCTAGGGCTCTAGGAACCAACCCCCTCCACTGTGACTGCAGTCTGCGTTGGTTATCAGAGTGGGTGAAGGCTGGGTACAAGGAACCTGGCATTGCCAGGTGCAGTAGCCCAGAGTCCATGGCAGACAGACTCCTGCTCACCACTCCCACCCAGCGGTTCCAGTGCAAAGGTAGGTGCTGCCCCCGCCTACACACACCCCTACCCCTTATGGGGTCTCCCTATCAGATAGACCTGGCCATCTCATCCTGTCAAACTTGGGCATCTCAGAAAATGTGACTTCTAAAACTATAACCTTTCCCACCTGGGTCACACAGAGGCTCAGATGCTGAAATTGACATGGACACACATCTAAGGGTCATTCTCTCTCCAAAACTCTTCTGTCCTTTTGTGTGCATGTGTCAGGGAATCAAACCAAAGTCTTGTGCATGCAAAACACACTACCCTGGAGCCCACACCCCCAACTTCTGTTGCTCCCTCAGTATCCATGGGGAATTGGTTCCAGGATGACCCTCCATGGACACCAAAATGCAAGACTACTCAGACCCCTTGTGTAAAATGGTGTTGTATTTGCATGTATCTTAGCTATAGTGTATACTTTGTCTCTACTTATAATATATTGTAAATGCTGTGTACACAATTATTATACTGTATTTCAAGAACCATTACCAAAAAAGAAGTCTGCACATGATTAGCATGGGCAATTTTGTTGCAAATACATTGAATCTTCATATGTGTCACTCGAGTTCTCTTAGGGCCTTGCTCCTGTCGCTATTAGACAAACCACATACACATCTTTATCTGAATTTTTCATAGTTTATATCTTTGGAGGGGGAGAAACTTACAAAGAAATGAACACCCGGCACCCAGCTTTGCACAGCTCAGCCCGCTGTTCCGGATCGCTTTGCCCACAGTCTACCTCATCCCACATCCCCGCATGCCCATTCACCTCACAGAGTTCCATGAGGGGTCCACAGTGTCCTCGCAAGGTCCCCCCGGTGGTGCCCCACGGGGTCCAGGGCAGGCTGGCTCACCTGCTCCCCGTTCCCTGCTTCCCAGATGATGCGAAATCCTTTTTGTTCCAATCTCTCCCCACACTAAGCTCCATCCTTCTTCCCAGGGTGCCCTGCGCTAGCCCATGGCTCTTCAGAAGTCTGGGAGGAATAAATCATTTTCGGGCTATAATATGGTAGACCATGAGTAAGGAGGACTGACTGTACTCACTGGCTCTTCCTCTATGTAGTTT